GAGGACTTGAAACGTCAAATGGAAACACTTCTGAGGCGGTCTTCCTCACACAATTCAAGATAGATCTCATCTGAATACATGCAGCAAACAATACTTTGTCTTGCATTTTCTCTCCCATTGCCATTATAACCCTAGTGCTCATTTTCAATAAACACATGGTGCTTTTTTAAAGCCGGTTTATAGCCCCGTTTACACGGACAAAATTGAATCGGTTTGGAAACCGGTTTGCAAATCGCGTCCCGTTACACGTAAACCGGTTTAGGCCAAATCGATTTACGAACCGGTGTAAATTAACGGGGCTTATGACAATCGCAGGTAATGTCAGTGCGCACGCGCTCGTACACCGCCCCCGTTATGAAGAGCTGCCTGAGCGAGATCCAGTGACATATGGCGCACTCTCTGCTTCTTTTGTCGGTATTAGCGTCGCTTTTAGCCTTGGGATGCCCCAAAGAGTACTGCCAAAAGGATGGCTGCCCGTCTGAGAGTGAGCTTCCCGCTGGTGGCGGTGGTGGCGGCCAAGACACATCTATGCAGAGTTCTTCAACTTTTTGGGACGCCATGGCTAGTGTGAAGGACACGGTAATGCTTGCGTACAAAAAGACTGTCCAAGGCGTGTATAACAAGACTGCAGAGAGGTATGCAGAGGTTGTTGACAATTTGGTTGACGACATCTCAGAAAACGTCCGTCGTGTATTTCAAGAGGAGTTCAATACCTATCTTACACATGCGTGGGAGTCAGTCATTGGAACAACCCCTGACAATGGTAGGATTATGCACAGCATGTGTGCACACTATACACAGTCCCCAGAGTGAATGGGAAAGTAAAGAGGTCATTACTCTGCCATTTAGAATCAGCTCAGAGGTATATAGCTACTAAAGGTCATTGTGTGTTTTTTTGTGCACAGATTCTACGGTGTTATGGAAGGTCAGGAAGGCTGCAAAGATATGGATGTTGATGGCTGGAATCATCATCTTCTGTCTTATACTGCACTACCTCTTATGGAAAATCTCCAACAACATCTTCACTGCCGTTATTAACGCTGTTACACTGCAGACTACAGTGGCTGTAGTTTACAAGTTACTAGGACCAGAGTTGTTATATTGGGGCTTCTTCAGAGTGGCTTTGTGTGCATGGTATACTTTAGATTTTGTATGGGCCTACCTGTATATTTCAACTGGAATCGTCAGCCTGTTGTGTGTGGGTGGGAACATCTACCAGTGGAGGAGGAGAGTTCAAAAGAAGGAATGGATGAGTAACATGATCAGGAATATGGACAGGCGACTTCAGGTGATGGAAGAACAGAACAAGAATATGGGGAAACAACTGAATAAGATAGTGGAGCAGAATGAGAGATTACAGAGTCAACTGGCCCAACCTTCAGCCTCACACTAGGTCTCCTATGATTTGCGAGATAGGATTTAGTTTCTATTTTGAAACTTTGGTTAGATAGTGAATTTGCTGTTTTTAAGTAGCTACATACATGCTGTTAATGTTTATATGTGACCATTGAAAGTGCCAGTAGTAAGCTGAAGAGAAAACCAGTATGTGAGGGGCTAGAAGACACTTGTCCACTGAGAGTGGCAGCTGTTGGTCCCATGACCACTGCCCTAGTGTCTCCACTGGACTGGTCCCCCAGAACTACCACATAGTGCCTCTTGCCAGGGACCGTGACGAGTTCGATCTCAGTCGTGTGAGCTACTTCTGGATCATGGATGACAGTCAGATCAGCATGTGATGCCTGGGCCCAGAGAGAGTTGTATATACCACTAGCAAATCATATAATGACGGCATATGTACCTTGATGATTATAGGTTTCCCAGGGGATATGGTAATTTCATAACTTTCCCCCATCTGTAAGCCAGTTGTCAACACGATCAGCTTGCCCGTTCTTCCGTTAACCTTGTAGAAATTCATACCTGCACAACAACATGTGCGTTATCATTGCAGTGACCACTGTTTGTAGTGAAAACAACCCTGTCACATCGTGCCATAAACAGACCGAAAATGTACTGTCGTATTGATATGGTGAAACTCCCCCAGTGATAAGTGATGAGAGTCTATATTATACTCTATATACAGGAAAAGCACAAAACACTTATATAGACGTTCTGTATTAGAACCTGGGAGGTTAGTGTTGTTGTTCCAAACGGCATTATAGAGGTAGACTTTGCTGGTGTCACTGCTCAAATCTCCCGTTGGGAATTCCTTGATGTCGTGGGCAGGCTGGTGAGGGTGTGTCTGGCTCCTCCTCACAATCACCACCACCTCGTCTCCCATCCCCACCTCTCCTTCAATGTAGCCGTACTCTGCCACTCCATAGTCCACCACAGCTGTATGCATGGGTGCATACTATCCGTAAAAGCAGTTCACTATTTGTTAAACATTTTTGCTTATGCAATTTGTTAAATGTTTAACTTATGCCTTGACAAAAAAACACCACAGTTCAACAGCAAATGTTTCAGCCTATTTGGGACAAAGTTTTGGGGGTTGAACCAAAGAACTTTGTAGCTCAGAACATCTGGAATGAGGTGTGTGCATCATATATATATATACACCTCCATTGTTTGGATTCTTGAAGTCAATGACAAAGTCTTCAACAGCTCGTATCATAGTCTCTTTCTCGAGGACCCTACCGTAGGCCACCCCCTCAATTTTGTCCTCATCTAGAACAACTGAGACATGGCTACCATCCACCTCACTGGGAGGGAAGGCATTCAGGACTCTGGTAAAGACTGGAAACACAGGAGATGATGGGACAGGAGGGATAGAGGAGGAAGAGGGAGTTTGCTGATCTGGTTGGGTTTCTAGCAGTGAAATGAAAGGGTTGGCTATTTCCGCATTGACTCTACAGTTGATGAAGATTATTAGTAGGAAGAGAGTAGCAGCTGATTCTACTCGTTGATTCATCGTCGTAGCTAGCTCTCTAGCTCTAGCTGAATTTTGGCGGTGCCTTGGTTACGTTTAGCGCATGCGCAATTCCATTATGCTTAGATACGCATGCGTAAAAGTTACGTTTGTTATGCGCCACGCCCCCTCGCACGGTTGCACTTTTGGTGTGCTTCGTGTGTATGTCAGCGCACAAGCCATGACTTGTGTGGTCGTACGATGATACGTTATATCCTCTGTGGTTTTCAGTTCTCTGGTTGTGTTCCTGTCTTGTCCCTTGGGCCTCAGGTGAGACTACAAATGATCCACTTATTCGTAGTGATACGAATTGTATCTCGTGTCACCAGTCCATGCAGCTCCAGACCTAAAATTTGTCATTCACGGGTGACCCATAGACGACGATGGCACAGAAGCATAACTGCACGGGACAGTCGATAAGATAGGTGTGCCTACAGAGGCTCTGTTTGTTTCCCATCTGATGTCAGTCTGACCACTGAAATCCGGCACAATCTCTGCATTTGAGGCAGAGAGTTCGTGGACTTTCAGTTGTTTGACCGAGGACTCAGCTACATCTGTTCGCCAGTGATGCTAGTGGTACCAGGACTATCATGTTTTGATGCTGCCAGATCACTCACTGCTTCGTTTCACTCATTATCTTCGTACGTGAAAATGTTGTCGACATCCTACGTCTATATTTAACCTTTATCTCACCCATGTGTTGAGATTGGCGTTTTGTATAGTAGACTACGTGTATCATGAATTCCTAGGAAATACCTCTTGACACAGTGATTCCCATGGAGATTACCAGTAACCTGATGTACTTCCCCCATGTGCATGATGAGTACTAGCTCCCACTGTTCAGGCACCACGCACTTCCCCGACTACTCAACCTATTAGTCGTCACTGAGGCAAGTACAGGTCCTCTCCTGCCACACTTGGCGCAGTTCTCCACCAGCACCAGATGGTACTCGGGAGCCCTACCGGTGTCGGACATCTGAAGAATCTTAGGAATCTTCTCTTTTGGCTTGTATCCACATGCTCTGGGTTGGTGTTGTTAGAAACTCATCTCAAATGTGGGTCTATATGAGTTTTGAGGTACCTATCTAGACGTTAGAACCCCTCTTTTCTCTCATGTAACAGAGCTGTCAGTTTTCTGACATGTGTATATATATAGCTACCTGCTTAAGTGCAACGAAACTCGCTGCGCAGTACAGTTGCCGTCAAATAGACTCAGCCTTATATTTCACAGCATTCACCACTTTCTTTCCCCTAGTGTGATGTGAAAGTGGATGTAGTGTAGCTATGCAAGGAGACTTCCGTATCCATGGCTTTCACACGAATAGTACTGTCATGTCAGCTTGGCCTCCACACTGCATAGCTGGAGATCGTCAGTCGGTATATCATACCCACAGCCATGAATGCCATGTGATGCAAGACTGATATATGGATACTATGAGATACATGTGTACCATTTGCGCTAGTTTGTGTGGTGTGTTGGGAGAGAAGTAGAGAAGGTTGTGTTAGACTAGATAGCATGGCTGTGTGTGCATCTATAAAAGGACGTGACTATGTTTTGGCTCCCTCTCTCCCTCAATGTGTGTTATTTTTCTGTCTGTCAGGTCTAAAGCCACTCATCTACACCGTGGCGTCTTGTCATCCTGCTGGGCTTCAGACCGTCACAACAACTTGTGTTATCATTGTTGCAGTGACCACTGTTGGTATGTGACCCCTTGTGCTAAGTGATGCGGAGTCAGGCCTTGACAAAATGTGCCTTTTTCCCTACCTATGTGCTTTTCTTTTATGCTAAGGATTTGTACCATTTTGATTCTTATTTAGTATTAGTAAAAAGTCACTAGGCAATATAGAGGAAAAATGAGGACGCATGTGTTAGAATTTAGAGTGGTCGAGGAAAAATGACGGCGACGCCATGCTCATGATACCATACTAACAGTCACAGTGCACTGAGTCATCGCGAACGATGTGGTATTGTACATTACTGAAAAAGCGGAAATGCGACATCAGTGCGTGACCCCTGGTACGCATGCTCGGTAATGATATTGCAGGCGCGGTTGTATGTAGGTTAGCCACTTCAAGTGCACAGTCCAATTTCTTACTGCCTATTTTGCTTTGTGGCTCAAGTTTACAGCACTTTTGCTCGCAGAATTGCGTTTTCGTGTTTGTTGCCTATTTTGCTCGAAATTTTGCTATAGAGCAAATTTGTCAGGCCCTTAGATGAGCGTCCTATATTATATTCTAACGTAAAGCACAAAACACCAGGTTATAGACAGCGTTCTGTATTAGAACCTGGAGATTAAGTGTGTTGTTTCCAAACGGCATTATAGAGGAGACTTTGCTGGCGTCACAGTGCTCAAATCTACTGTTGAGAATCCTGTGTATGTCGTGGTCAGGCTGGTGAGGGTTAGTGTCTGCTCCTCCTCACAGTCACACCCACCGTCGTCTCCCATCCCACCTCTCTTCACTGTAGCCGCCTACTCTGCCACGCCCGTAGTACTCCACGCAGCTGTATGCATGGGTGAACATACTCACCAAATAAAAGCAGTTCACTATTTTAAAAATTTTGAAAATGCCAAATTTTTTAAAATGTTTACCTCAGCCTTGCAAATAAACAACACCGTTCAACAGCAAATGTTTCAGTGATCCATTTGGGACAAAATTTTTGGGTTGAACCAAAGAAACTTTTTAGCTCAGAACATCATGCTTACAGTCAGTACATTTTGAATGAAGAAGTGTGATGGTGATGAATCGTATATATAATATAAATATAACTAATATATATCACCACCTCCTTTTTTGGTTCTTGCAAGTAAATGACAACAGTATTCAACAGCTCCAATCAATAGTCTCTTTCTCGGAGAAGGGACTCTACAGATTGAGGAAGAGCCCCCCACTAGGAGTGATGGCATCATATAGACTGCAACGAAATGAGAAGGGCATACCATCCAGCCTCAATGGGAGCGGGGAGGGGAAGGCATTTCAGGAACCTTGGGGGTATAACGACTGGAACCACAGAGTTGAGGGGAAAAGGAGGGAGAGAGGAGGAGGGAAGGAAACGAAGGGAATCAGTGTGTGATGCTATCGGGTTGGCAGTGATTGACAATGAAAAGGATTAGCATCTTCACTCGCAAATGGACATGCAGGGGATGA